ATCACCTGGAAAAGCTGTTACTGTTTATTACAATATCTTTGGGGCTTTTTATCAGCACAGAGTGTTGTATAAAATACATCAGTAACAATGAGCTTTTGTTATCATACGCTGCATTTATACTAGGAAGATTTTGCCACATATCTGATACATCCATCCTGGGAAAATGGTCTTGAATATACATTTTCACTCTAGTGTATGTAGCTTTTCATCCATTATGAACTTCGGTTTTTACTGTACTTTGTCTTGTAATATCTTGAGAAACAATAGCCATTTCATGGGAGTTGTGCTACCAAGTATTAATGTACCAGGGAACTATTTATTTAGGGAGTTCCTGAAGGTGAAACAAAATCTTTTGGCATCAAAAGCTTATCCTTACCTTGCATCTGTCATGACTGCTCAAAAAGCCAGCCTCAGCACACATGGGCCTGATTTACCAAGCCTGCTGTACTCTCTGCACACATAGATGATATATGCACACATAGATGAGCTTGTGCATGTTCACAGCAGGTTCAAGATATCTAGTATGGGATTTTTTGTCTCTCCTTTACTTTAGGCCTTCCTTCAGACTGAAAGTCCAGGAACCATAATCCCATTCCTGAACACACACACACACCTTCCTTCCTGCCACACCTTCCCCATAACCTGCCTTATCTACATCATTTGTGAGCTTTTCTATAGAAGACTGTCTATTTTTTTGTGTTTGTCTAGTGCTGTATAAAGTGCTATAAAAATACTGGGTTTTGGCCCTTCGATAACAGTGTAGTAAAGGTAGCAGCAATAATCTTATGGTTTAAAGAGGCATCTTGCCTGAATTTATTGTCAAGGTATAAAATTTGTTAAAAGGTCATTTTTTTGCATTGAACTCAACCTCGTCAGTTGAGAGCTGTTTAGCAGCTGGACTTCATGTTTTACATGGATTTCACATTTTTTATGCAGAACTAAAGAAGTGAACTTTGCAATGTACTTAACTCTTTGGAGGTTATGCGCCATCACCATTTTGCAAACACCTTTGACTGCTGAAAGTCTTGCTCCAGTTTTGCATTTTCACCATAGCCAGGAGTTACCACTAGCCCAACTCTGTCAAAAAAGTGTATCCAGGTTAACAAATGCACATCACTCTGTTTCAGGCAAGTTCTGCTGGGTTAGTTCAAACAGCTGACAAAGGCAGGCTTGCACTAACGAACGCAGTTTGTCTCAGGCAGATTAGGAAAAGAGCAGCACAATTCCAATTTATGGAGCTGCAGGAAGGGTCCCGCTTTCCGCAAATGTACATTCTAGATGCTTGGCATCTTTAGCCTGCAGAGCCAGGTCTGGAAGAGGATGTTTACCGTCAGCCTCCAAAATAATGACTGCTTTGTGAGGCTACAGTCATGCGGTCATTGTAGAAATGGCTTTGTGGCACTTGAAGACATTCATTCCCACCCATAAACTGGAAATTACTCTCTTCCTGGTACAGCTCAAATGTCAGAATAAATCATCTGGGCATGTGTTTCAGCGCAAAGGCAACAGGTTAGTATTCTGGTAAGAGTGATGCCAGTTCACCTACCTGACTTTCCTCTGGAATTTAAACACTGGTTCTTTTATACAAGTCTTTTACACTAAGCAGCAGGGCTGACTGTACAGCCGCTGCAGAGCGATGACAAACACCTGGATGTCAGTGCCATCTTAAACTGACACCTCTGCTTCCCCATTAAATATCTGACCCAAGGCTGAAGATTAGTCATGCTGCTTCTCAAGGCTTTCTACTGCACTGGAAAGTATCTGGAAAGTATGCAAAGTACAGCTGGCTTAGAGATTTCTCCTGTGCAGAAGCTGCTTTTAAAACAAGTCGTATCTCTCAGAAGGAGGAAATTCCCGTGTGGGAAACCTAGAATTCTTACCTGAATGTGAAAAGGCCACAAATATACAGGCATTTTAAATATGCCAGGCGACAAATTCTCTGTCACTTAGCAAACAGGAAATGTCAAAATAGCTGAGGTGTGAAAGTCAGTAACAGCCACAAATAAAATAATCTCTGGTGAGTGTAACTGTGAAAACTCTGACATGTGTTTCTCCCTCAACTTTCAAAGCAACTTCCTCCAGTCCCAAAGAAATGGAATTGGTGTTAAGAAAGTAGATCTCATAAGAATAAAATCTGTCAACTGTTGAGGAGCACATATTCTCTACCAGCATCTTGTGTGCCACAGCAACACAGTGGGTGAATGCTACCAAATAGCTATAGTGCTACCAAATAGCTCCAGTACCCACCTGCGTCTGCATATGGTGCCAAGAACTGCTGATGATATTACTGCTGAAGTGAGTGCCTCAGCAATTCCAGAGCTTCTGTTTGGGAAGAAAGTGGCAGTTAGCTAGTCCTGACAAAATCCACCTTGTTGGGACTCTGACTTGGTATTTAGTAGGTTACAGAGCTTCATTTGACAGGTTGAATAGTGAAGGATGTGTCACATCTGTAGGTAAATAGTTTTAGGGAACCTTTGGTGTTGCATCGTTTTTAATCTTGCTTCACTTTCCAACTGTTTTGTTGAGCTGTCTTTTCCTACTTGATTTAAATGGCAGTACTCTCAGAAATCACTTTCCCACATGAGTGCTTTATACACCAAGATCAGGTCCCCCCTAACCTTTTGATAGGTGTTTGTGTAGTATGATGGTGCAGTGCAACCTTTCAGTTTTCACTTGGATTTGTGCACAATATTTTCTGCCATGGTTTTTAACAGAAACTTTTTTATTTTCCTGAAAAGTTGCCTTGAGTGTTTTGCAGCATGGCTCTTTCTGGCCACCTTCTGACGCATTATGTACGCGCTTGTTTGCCTCTCAGAGCAGATTGTCGTGGTGCGGTAGGAAAAATTTCTGAACCTGAACCATGTGTCTCGCTGCACCACTGCAGCTTTCACTGTTGGTTGCAACTGCTGCAGCATGAATTTCTTTTGTAATGTGAGTATTGCACAAAAGATTTGCTCTGACAAAAATCTCCTGTCACACTACTAGAAGCCAGTAAAAACTCTCCACTTGACAGTGAGGCAATGGTCTCACAGCTAGAAAATGGGTCTGTTAACATAAGAGTGTCTTTTCTCAATGTGGTAGCATCTCCTGTTCTAGCGGTGGCAATGTAGAGGAGACACAGTCATTTATCCTGTTACATTGTACTGCTGTAGTCCTTGTTTGACAGAGACCAGAGTGTGTGTGAAAGAAGCTGATGGTGCAGTAGTTACAGCTATAAGAGAAGCTGCAGTGCTGGTGAACTACAGGCCATCATTTTGCTGGTGTATTTTGCAGTCCTACTGTGCAAGATGACTGTCAAAGGCATGCATTACAGAATTGAATTTTTACTTGAACTGAGACTTGACTTAATCTGTTAAGCACTTCATTATTATTCCATGTGTTATTCCAACAATCTTGAAGTGGGTCAGGTACTGAAAGGGAAGCCAGTGCTGGTTGGACAGCATTAATTTTGGTTATTATGAGCATTGTCTGGTTAGACCTGTTTTTAAAATGTGCCACTACATGATGGGCTCATTATAGCAACCTCATCATCTCTGCTGCCAGTCCTGTAAACAGTCCACTCCGAGTCTGCTGGCGCTAGGGGCAGGTCTTGTGCAACAAGTGGTGGTGGAGTCCGCTGTTGGGTTGGCTGATGAGATGTAAAGGAATACACAGAGCTCTAAGGAAGAGCATGGCCTAACAGACAAAAACCCTTCTTGGTAGGCACAGCTGAACTCAGGTCAGTAATGAGAAAAGAGGGTTGAGATAGTACCAACATCTCTTTTTCTTCCTGCCTGCAAAAGTATTTGAAAGTACATTAGCCTGTGTTAATTTGGAAACTGTTGAGCTGTTTAGACTGTCATCTTTTAGCATTTACTCTATTTGTGGTGGTATTTAAATGCATCAGAAATTAAATTTAAACACAGCCCAGCCAATGTTCTAAGTAACAAGTTTCCATGAGGGAATAAGCAAATAACTTTATGCTGCCAGTTTTGTTTCTTGCCTCTTCACAGCCTTTCACTGTACCCCCATGCCTCTCAGCCAAACCCACTGCCTCCAGCATGTAAAAAAAAAAACCAACCAAAAAAACCCACAATAAAATCTAACTGTGCTCCTTTTTAAAGAAAATAAAATATTATTTACATTATTTTTGTAGAAGGAAAGAAGCAAAGGGAAAAAAATATTACATATTCTCCAATATTACATATCTAGTTTTATTATGTTGAATTATATTTTTCCCTAAAGTCCTTTGAAGCAGTGATGGAGGAAGATAAAAACAAGCTTTTTCTTCATCCAGGATATGCAGAAACGAGGTCTCAAAGTGGATAGAAATGATGTGAAACAGTATACTTTGTAATAATTCTGTTTCTTTGAAGAGAAATGCAATATGCCCTGGTAAATCATGTTTCTGAATATTTACCATCTTTTTACAGGAACCTATTGTCCTGGTACCTGTTGTAATCTATCAACCTTGTACACAGATCAGTCAGTAACTGGTGTGATATGCAGGGGAAGGATTAAGGCACTAAAACCATACATTTATCTGGTTGTAATGAGCTTTGTTGTTCTTTCAGTGATTTGGAATAAGATTTTTTTGGTAGAATCCTCAATGCGATCTATTAAAAAACACCCCGTGGTTCATTCATTGGATGCTTGTTTTGCTGGTGCATACCTCTGTGTTGTTACAAAATATATACTTTTTTCCCCTGAGTTTATAGAAATCGTAGAAAATTAATTTGTTACTGTATCTCCCAAAATAGTATCATGGGAAAGTGAGAGAACTGTCTTACACATTCATTACTGTGTCATCATTCATGCAAATCTGAACGTGACCATCACATGCAAAGTGATGCAGGCACTTACAGGAAGAAAAAAAAAAAAAGGGGGGGTGGGGGGTGGAACACGGAAGGATGGGTAGGGGAGAGAGGAGAATAAGCTCCCTTCCTGATTCTGGGCTTTAGAAGGAAAGAAGTCACAGTTTTTCCTACCACAATATACTGTTTCTGTTTTTTTTTCTGCAGTAGGTCCTTAAAGAGAGGTCAAGCCCTGAAATGCTCACACCTGCGTTTGCAGTCAGGCACCTCAGTGCTCTGCTGATCAGGATGCGGTCATTCTGTTTCCTGCTGCGATAGAAGTGCTTGTGTATTTCAGTGGTCACACACCACTGATGGTTGCAGCAGTGAGGGAGTATGTAAGGAAGACCTGAGAATATGTGTGTATAATTCCATGGAGGTGATGGATACTTTAAAGAAAAAAAAAAAAAAATCTAAGTTCCTGGCTTTGGTGGAGGATAATTAAGCCTATAAAATATGATTTCTTTATTTCAAATGGTGACTTTTGACATAGTAAAGCTTGATTTTTCTTTTTCCTGTAAGTTAAAGAAGAGCCATGTTCTGCTTTTAAAGGCCTGATTATAAAAATGTAAATTTAGATTGATTCTAATGTAATGTACTCTTCACATTCTTCTAAAATTTCCGTCACCCTTTACATGATTAAGGTAAGTGCTAATTCAGATTATAAAAACAGTGTTTAAATAATTAAAATTTGTTGCTGCTTTCAAGATGCATGTGTCCATGAAAAATGTCAGTCTGCATGGTGACATGTCATTCCGGTGAAAATATTCTGTGTGGATTAGTAAGTACCACAGCAACTTCCACTGTTATTCATCAGTATGTAAAATCAGAGGACTGATAGGACCTCGGAAAGAAACCCAAATCCAGTAAATGACTGCTGTGAATAATGCTGAGCTCTTTTCTGCACACCTTAAGTTATTTGGGGGGCTTTCATATCTCTGCATGTTGTGATTGATGTAAAAGGTGTTTAAGGCTGCTGTAACACAAAGATATGAACTTCCCAGCAGTGACGACCATTCTACACAAGAACCGTTACTTCACTGCCAGGCTAACACAAGATACATAAGATATGTATGTGAGATAGCAGAGGTGACCCAGTTAGACAGTTGGGTGGCTAGCTCTTCCTATGCTAATCTATCCTCCTCCACCCGCCTGTCTTCCTTCTGGCTTGGACCTGCCTAGAACTACTATTACATGCACTTAGTGAACCTCTAAATTAGTTCTTTGTGTAAGCTCAAAGGCAAATTTTTAGTGAAACTTCATTTTGTACATTATGCATAGAATGAGAAAATTTGCACTAGAAAAACAGTTACTGTCTCCACCTTGGACAGCCACAGAACAGAACTCAGACACAGAATCATAAGCTATGGATATGCTAGTATGTTGCAGGTATAAGCTCACAGTGTAAAACAAAACTATTTGACATGAGAATTGAGATCACTTGGTGGGAGAGTAATTTTGGTTTCTGTTGAGCGTACTGTGACAGACTGAACAGTGTCTAAGCATGAGTCAGCACTTTTCCAACTTTCAGATAAAAATGTGCATTAGTAGCAACTTAGATGAAGATAAGGCAAGATGCCAGTGGTCCTGGGCTGCCATAAGCTTAAGGCCGGTAAGAGCAGGCACAAAAGCAATAGTTAGGGAAGTTAATCTAGGACAATCTGCAGTAATGGGTACAGTAAAAGTTGCTCTTTTTCTTCTTTCTTGAAAGAAGAAATGCCAGTTAATCAAAAAATGTGGGGAAACTTTTGGGTTTTGACAATGGCACTAAATTTGTTGAAAAGTACTCTTGTAACATTTTCAAATGGAAAACTCTGTGTTTCAGTACAGATTTACTTCTCACTTTTGTTTTTCAAACTGTTTTTACATGAGTCAAAACTAAACCTTTTCAAATGACTCAATCTTAACTGTCATGGAATGCAAAAAAAACACCCAACATATTAACATAAAAGGTTGTACTCATTTGCCAAAGGAAGTACTTAGGAGGGGAAATAAGACTGAAATGATATTGAAGCAATGTGGAAGCTGTGTTCTTCATATTAACAAATGGCAATCTTTCCCTTGTCCTTTTTGTTTCATCTGCATTTTGACTACACTGTAATTTTGTAAAGCACTGGTTTGCATTGCAGAGTCATGGCGCAATCATTGTTTATTGTATTGCTGTTATATAACATCTTTTATAGGCGTATATACTTAATTCTGATCAGATTAAAAAACACGTCGTATATGAAAATGTATAGGGAAGTGGTTGTAACAAACTCAGAAAGACAAAAACGGTGAAATTACTCTTCACAGAAGGTACACTAGCTCAGAGAAGGTACATCGCTTCAGTACCCTGAGGGCAGTTGCTGCGTAGAGGCACCTGTAGGAAAACAGTAATGACAGAGGTAAGTGGAGCTGGATGCAAAACGTACATTACAAGACGCCTTGGTATTCAGAGTCCAGTTCGAGAGTCACCTAAAAGAAATTCTTTTCCTGGCTATGCCACGTACTTCCTCTGGGGGATCTTGAGCAAGGCGTGTTTTGACCCAGATTTCAGTTTCATCCACTAACTTTTCAGTTAGTCCCCTGGTGACCGGCACCTAGATTTCCCTGGCTGAGCAGCCTAGCTTTCAGAGGTACCATGCTGCTGCTAACTTACAGTCTGACATTTCCAAGACACGCTTCCTTTTACAGCCACCGTCCTTCCCTGAATGACCTATATTTAACTCCAGGCTCATGTAAGAGCTGCCTTAGGTGGCACCCTCATCTTTCAGGCATGCATTGCGACAAAAGCACAAAACATAAATAAATAAACCCGCCTTGCATCATGCCATCCTGCGAGCCTCCGCGGAGGGATACGCCTACCGGTGACATGATTCAGACTGGGGGGGACAACTGACATCCGGGAGACTTCAAAGGGCAAGAAATAGGAACAAACCGCCTCTCTTTTTTTAGCTGTGCATAGCAAGGTTCATACCAGTTAACCAAAGCACGGGGTAGGTGCTGTCTGTATGGGGCCGCAGCCCGTTTTCCACAGGCAGCGCCCACGCCACGCATACTGCCCGAGGCCCGCTCACGCGTGGGTGCCGACACCTGCACTTTAGCCCTAATGAAGCACGGCCCACAAGCACAAAAAGCAGGCCACCGACGGAGCGGGAAACGCCGCCCAAAACAAAGCACAACAACTCTACAGCATCCCGCATCAGGCACCGGACTGGGACCCCTTGGCCCAGAGCAGCCCCGCCCACCCCGCTTGGCCCAGCCCTACCACGTAACTCTCCGCCAATCAGAGCCACCCTCTCCTCCCGCGCACCTCCCCTTGCCCTCCGCCTGGCCCCGCCCACCGGAGAAGTGCAACCGGCCGTCTCGCGAGAGCGGCGGAAGCCTCGCGAGAGCTGCGGGGCAACAGCCTCCCGTCCGCCCCCGCCCCTCCCCCCCTCCTCCCCCCCCCCCGCAGGCGGCGCTCCGCCCCGCGGCCCTCCCGCCGCCGCCGCCCCCGCGGCCGGATCTGTGTCTCGCTGGCTGGGCGGTGGGAAGGAAGGCAGAGGAAGGGGGGGCGCTTGGCCCTGCGCATTGAGCGATGTTTGTCCGCCATCGCGGCGGAGGAGGAGGGTGAAGGAAGCGCCGCCGCCGGAGCGAGGGGCCTGTGCCGCCGCCTCGCCCCTCGCCGCCGCCTCCCCCGCCGCTCCCCCCGCCTCGGCTGGGCCCGGCCCTCCCGGTCTCCGCGCAGCACCGGGGGCCGCAGCCCGGAGTGAAGGTCGCCAGCGGCCTCCCCCGCTCGGCCCCCGGCCCCGCTCCCGGGGTCTACCGCCCCGCCGCGCGTCTCCCGGCGCCCCTCCGGACGGGAGGCGCCGCAGCCGCCGGGCCCGAAGATGTCGAACCTGAGCAAGGGGACGGGCAGCCGGAAGGACACCAAGATGCGGATCCGAGCCTTCCCTGTGAGTACCGGGCCTAGGCCGGGCTGAGCGGCCGCGCCAGGCCCCGGCCTCCGCCTGCTCGCAGGCCCCGCGGCCTCGCCGCCCTGTCAGCCGCGCCGTGTGCCCGGGACCGCGGGACGGGCGGGCTAGGCCGGCCATGAGCAGAGGCGGCCTGGGAGGGTGCCGCGGGTGCGAGCGGTGCCGGGTGAGCTGTCAGCCGGCCGGCGGTCTCGGACAGTCCTATGCGAGCTGCGGGGGGCTCGAGGGGGACGTGCGGGACCTGCATTCTGGGGAGCAGTGGTGTCTACCACACGGCGAGTGGGAGGTGGAGGAACTGGTCCCCGTGATTATCGTCTCCCTCATCAGTCAAACAAATCAATTACGAAAATCCACGTACGGCTTGGGGGGGGGAGTGGGGAGGGGGGATCGCTTCTTTGTTTTCAGGGAAAAAGCCTCAAAGAAGTCCGAGATTATACGCCTACATCAACGAAATTAGTTAGCCCCGGAAGGTGTGTGTGTGTGGGGGGTGTATTTATTTACGTCTTCTGGAGAGTTTCCTCTTGATGAATTTACCGCACTCCCTGCTCTGTAAAAGAGGCTTTAAGTCGTATGATTATGAGATTTAGGTGGCACAATGCCAGCTATTCAGAAGATGTTACTGTAAACATCTAGGTGTAGGTAACTTTCATGCATGTTCGGTAGAGCCATGAGCGTGCCGTCCCTTTGAGTTACAGAGGGGAATGAGCCAGATGATTAATTTAAACTGCCATAAAGCTTGCTGTGTTTTGACAGTTGGTTCAATTAAAGCTTACAACAGCATTAACAACTACAGTGCTATTAATGGTATTGAGAAACGAGAGAAATAGAAAAGTTTCAGTCTGCCAGAGGATGGCCAGAAAGTATGTATGTATGTGTTTGTCACTGTATACATTAAAAAGAAGATACTTGGTTGAGTCTCTGGCTTTTAAGGTTTAGTGTTAACTTTTTGATGCTATATCTGATCCCAGTAGGCAGTAGTGTAGAACTAATGTGGCTTGCCTTTATAGAGAAACTGGACATACCTGTTTATCTTCTCCAAGGAATATATCAATGTGTTCGTTTCATCAAAACTTTTACTGATGAAATTAGGGAATTCCTTATATGCTCAGCAGCTAGCTTAATCGTAGCAACCTGATTTATGCATCTCTTACGCTGTCATCTACTTTTAATCATTGACAGTTCTATTTAATGGTAAAAGTTAAAAAGAAAAAATGGCCTATGAAGTTATGAATTTCAGCTGATGAAAGGTTTTTGATCTCCAAATGATATTTACTTCTGTAAACACCATTTTCAAAGAAGTGTTGGATTGTAGGAATAAAGAAAAAGACTTACTGCAACATGGATAAGGCTAGCACACACCTGTAAAAAATAAACCATGACAAAACCAGTATGTGTATCTTATTAGAAACTGTACTAAGAATATGGCCATATTTTAACTTGATAAACTGATTCATTTATTCCAACTGTGAGTATGTCAGTATGG